AGGAAACAGTCAGTAAATGGAAGAAACCTTAGCTTCTAACTGAAATTTCATTAACAAAGTCTTCAAATGTGGGCTCCTGATCATTGGAAGGTAAATAAAGAGAAAAAAGTAATTCGCCGTTCACAGTCCAGTACTATCGCCCCATGTTAGCGAATACAAGACAGTCTTAGATTCTGGATCCCATTCCATGGATTCAGGTTCCCGGGTGCTGGATTCCAGTCTTTTCCAGTGAAACTTGGATTCTAGATTTCATTCCTTAGTAGGGTACTTGAGCTCTATTCTGGATTCCAAAGCCCTGGATTCCGGATTCCGTATCAAAATTTTCCCGGATTCCGGATCCTACAAGCAAAAATTTTCCAGTCAAACATTTTCTGACCTTTTTCACGCATATTTAATTAAGCAGTGGGAAATTTACTTTTCTTCTAACGTTCGATTTTATAATATGATGGATCGGAGTAACTTCTGGTCAATGCAGCTTTTTCAGACTGGACCACATTTTAAGCTAGAAGAGGTTTGGTGCTGAAAAGGTATTTTTCCGTCTTGACATAACAGACTTAACACGAATGGTCGGGGCAGTGGGAATATTAAATGAAGCTTGGAAAGGTATCTTTTACTTGCTGAACTAATTTTTGAACAATATATATCATTGGCAAAGGGAAAAAGGGAATTTTAATATAGTTTTGGTGGGAAAATGAGGCATATCTTACTTAAAAGTGGCAAGTATTTGAATAACTGAGGATTTTGCTGTGACAGCAGCCGGTATCGTCACGCAACGCAAATTGAACATTTGCCTAAATTTGAGTTGAAACCTTCAATTCTGAATCGTGTTGTGCCACAAGTTTTATTGCATAACTTGACAAAATAGCTATTAATCTTTAACTAAAACATGTTTTTAGGTCTATTTTAGGTGCCACTTTTGAGAATTTTCTGATGATTTTGGGGCATTTTTTCGTGCAGTTTGCTTTCTTAATTGGATTAGCGAAATAAAGACGACCAGTTTTTGCTGATTACAGAAAGATAATGCCTAAACGGTATTGGAACAGTAAGAAGAAGTAATATGCTTCCAAATGAGTGCAATAGTCTAGGATTTGATGACCCAAAGAACTTTAGAACGATCGTTAAAAAACCTGTATAACAGAGACTAAAATTTGCTTTTTTTAGCCGCTAACGGTCGTCCAGCAATGAAATGCTGGGAATGGCGGTAAAATAAACAATTTACTCATTCTAACTGCAATTTCGTTTTTAGGATGGATAGTAGTGTTGATGGTAAAATTATGAGGCAAAAGTTTTTTCGAGTCCAAAATCGAGTGGAACGCTTTTAGGGAGACTGCCTCTTAATCGCTGCGCCGATCCTGACCTCAAGCCATACTTCACACTCAGACACGAACTCTGTGGAGTAAGGCTGCCTCATGAGGGGCCTGCGAACTGTTTTATTATACCTCCTTCTTTAAGACAAACCATCCTGACAGAATTACATGAAGGCCATCCTGGTATTACACGCATGAAATCAATAGCCCGCAGTCATGTTTGGTGGCCGAAAATAGATCAGGAGATTGAAAAGGTTACCCGTGAATGTCAACCGTGCAACAAAACCCGCAGGGCTCCTCCAGCCTCACCGCTTCTTCCATGGTCTTGGCGGACAGCTCCACGGCAACGTGTTCACGTAGATTTTGCCACCCATCAGGCAAAACATTATCTCATCATGGTGGACGCCCACTCTAAGTGGCCTGAAGTGATTGGTCCCATCAAAAACAACAACAGCCGACTCAACCATTAATGCCATGCGTAATATTTTTCCAAGATACGGTCTACCAACCCAAGTAGTCAGCGACAATGGCCCACCCTTCCAGTCTGCAGAGTATGAGGAGTTCCTGCGGCAAATTGGCATTCAGAGAATTTTCGTTTCCCCTTACCATCCCTCTTCAAATGGGTTGGCTGAGCGGTTTGTGCAGACTTTCAAGTATGCAATGGAGTCATCAGCTGACGATCCCGCAAGCTCCATACAGCGGCGGACTCAGAATTTCCTCTTATCTTACAGAAGCGCACCACAAGCTACAACCGGCTCATTCTCCGCCAAGCTATTCTTACAGCGAGAACTTCGTACTTGATTGTCTCTGGTTACACCTTATATTGCATCTCACGTGGCCAGCCAGCAAGACAAAATGAAGTGCAATCATGACAAGTTTGCAAAATACAGGGAGATAGCTGTAGGAGACTGTTCTCGCACGTGACAACCTATCGGGACAGAAGTGGCAAGCTGGTACTGTCGTACAGCAAACATATCCTGCTTCCTATCAAGTCCAGTTGAACGATGGACGGAATTGGAGGAGACTTGTTGACGATGTACTTCAAAACACCCCTAGCTCTGCTGTGACTCAATCCAGCTCTGTCGAAGTTACATCTGATCAATCTACTGAAGGAGTTACTTCTCCCAGTACCGGAAGCAGTATACACCCCACATGAAGAATCAGAGTCAGTGGAGTCGCCAAGCACACCTACTCCTCCCACCCCTGCTCGGCGTCGGTCCAAACGTGCTACTAAGCCACCACAGAGACTGATTGAAGAAGTGGACTAAAACCATTAAGTCTCGCCTTAATGACACTGAACAATGCTTCTAATAGTTTTGTTCTTTTCTTGAACTTTTGATCATTTCGAGGGTTTCAACAGTTGTCTTGTACTTTAATTTCTTGTCAGGCACAACATTTCTGCGGGGAGGTTTTATATTGCATCATTACATTTGTTATAGTGTCAGTAATTCATACTGAGCCCGCAGTATGTATGCGGTTACTGAAAAACCCATGTGCTCCTTGATTAATGCAGTTCTTTAGTTGATCCGCCATCTTGCGTGCAGTTAACTGTTTGCCCGAGAACATAACACGAGGTTCAACTTTTGCGCTTACGAGCGACCTTTCCTGCATTGAATCTATTTTATTGCGATCGTGAATTTTACCCACGTACGCACGTAAAAATTACTCGACACTGGAAATCAACCGTTAAGGTCCCTATAGAGAGAAATAGGGGAGAAGTCACATTAAGGAAGAAAGATGATGTGAAAATAAAATGGAATGTGTCATTTGTTAAGAAGTACCAGGAGAAACCCTCCGAGGATGCAAACATTAACATGGATATTCAAGCTGGGGTTCAGGGGCAGGGCGTAGACCAGGAAGAAGGAAGCACAGAGGAACAGAAATATAGGAACCGTGCTTCTTCTGTAGCGCTACTTCAGCAAATTCCTAGCCCGATTCCAGTCCGGCAGACAGTTACCCCAAGTTCAGTTACGCTAAGACCAAGCCCGAGAGCAACTCAATGATTGGACTTCCTAAACGATTGGTGATTGTGGTTGTCAAAGATATGACTAAACTCTGTTTCTGGCCGAGCTTCTTAAAGCTGAGCTAAACTTGATAGCCATCATCATCATCATCATCATCATCATCATCATCTCGATTAGGTTGGTAAAAGCCGGTTAGGCAACACACCAACCACTTACAAAATTTGAAAGTATAAATTACATGCAACAATAAATAGAAAAAACAACAATAAATAGAAAACTAAGGTAGTTCTGAAATTCTTCAAGGGACGAAATACGAGGCATATCGGAGGAGTTGATTCCAGTGTCTAGTGGTCTTTATCCAGTATTTAGGTTTTCATTCTCGTTTTACTTCGGACATTTCGTAATGCTCTTATTTACTGGAAGTATTCATATAATACACTCCAAAATACCACGAGTGCTCGGTTACTGGTGTTGTGATGCTTTGAGACTTGAGAAACTCGTGTTGAATGTAGGTTTTGTTTTCTTTTTGAAATCCTGTAGCGATTAAGCACTAAAATACAGAACCAAGAGAGAATTCTCTCCCGACAGATCTTTACAGATGGGTCTTCAAGACTCATCTCAAACGCCTTGGAGGTTTCGAGATCGGATCAAAATTTTCCGAGATCTAACAACCTGTTGCCATCCTTACAAAACCTAATCGACTACAACTTACTGAGAGTGACTTCTTTGGGCTAAAGCTAAGAACTTGAAAATGAATTTTCAGATTCAAGTTGAATCCGTATATCAGCACAGATACATATTTGTGTCAGTTGAAGAGCTTCTCAAAAATATATAGCACGCAAGTTTGAAAAAAAAAACAACGCGGAACTTAGTGGTCAGAGGTAAGAGCCACCAATTTGCGTTGAAGCGTATTCCAAGAATTAATCAAAACGGGAAAGGGTTGACTCAAGAGTGCAGCACATGTGGCTGCTCCGAGCAATATGCTCCCGTCAGAACGAATTCCCACGTTGAAAAAATGAAATGATACAGGTGTAGAAGGCTTTTATAAAGTGTAAATTACAAAAGATCTGTTTCAACCCAAAGGTACCAATTTAGACCCGCAGGTCAAAGTCATATTCAGCCTCTATTTTTTGGAGCCATTTGAGCACCATTTAGACCGAAACAGCCCTGACTGTATTGCCCCTGATTGAGGTAGACAAATTAAGCCCAAAATGAAATATGACTGTATTTGACTGATGGCGATAACTGTGGGAATGCGACGTCAGCTGTCTATGGCAGGGGTGGTGAGATGGACGAGACAGTGGACTCTGTTGAAATGGTCAAAGGGAGCTGGGCCGTAGCGCCTCATGCGACTAATTTGAGGCAGGCCGGTCCCAAACTCCCTTTATAGGTAATTATGCAGAAAGAATATTTCTTAAATTATGATAAGGATAAAAGTTATTTGTATGTTGGTGTCCGATAATTTTTATCATGCAAAATGAACAAAAAGTACAAAAGCAATACTAAATTGTAAGTTAACAGAAAGTAAACAAATGAAAATTCACGTTTGAAATGCTATTCATTTTAATTATTTTGTTGCAAACCAGGTTTGAAACTTTGTCTCAAACTGAACACTAACTTCCTGTAACAAAACTAAAGCACACAATAAAGGAAACAAAAAAACAAAAGAAATGAATTTTAAGATCATTTAGATCTGTCGATTCCTCGACATTTTGCTGTCCTCGACAAATTATGCTTCGAGCACCACAAAAACAGCATAAGAGATCGCAATCAGGAGTAAAGAATAGAGCGAGTGGACAGACAAAGACAACGCTCCACTTTTGCTCGTAGGCTTCCCTCCTCTGTTCACGTGCTTCTCACATGATTTCTGCTTGCTCTCACTGAGACACAAAGCGTAATCCATCACGTGAAATACGTACTGCTGTTCCACTACACCATGGAATAGGTAGGCCCCAGGACCGTCCGCGAATACGCCTACAAAAAAGAAGAAAAAATAAAATGATAGTAATCACCCTCTTGCGACCCAATCTCACAACATATATCTGACTGGATTTATGCAAAACATGGCTTCACTGAGTGTCTAAAGGTCCTATGCTAAGTGTGTCCTTGGTACCAAGACTTTGACCCTCCCCACCCAGGACAATGGGTGACTGTCTGCACCTCCCACTGAGCTCTATAATTATCATGATAATCATTCTCAGCAGAGGCCTGATTCAGCTGGCTAGGGCAAATTAAGACCAAGGTACTCGCCAGTCAAAGCCTCCACTGAACACTGCTGATTACTGAAAGGGTCGCGTCAAAACAGGACCCCTCCCTACCCCACTTGTTTTGACCCCAAGGCCTGATCCACCCACCCACTGTTAGAGCAGTCCCTGGGCTATCCAGCTGTACCGACCAAGACCCCAAGCCCCCTACTTTTTGGACGCCGGGCTCGCCTGTGAGAGGTCCTGTCTCGATTTATCTTGGCAGGCAAAGTAACCTTGTAGAAGTAGAATTAAAACAAGACGATAACATGATCTGTCACAGCCTTAAGTTTTAATTGGAGCAGAGAATAATCAGACAGTGAGGGAAAACGCCCAGTCTAGCCCTTAGGATATGTGCAGACTACTCAGGAATTAGACTTCCTTAAAACTGCAGACGCTGGAAATAACTTAAGTGAAAAGCACATATCTCACCCAAACCCCTTCGATTCCCTACAATAACGAGTTTTAGCACGAGACTAAAATGAGTGATGCTGCCGCTAATGTGTTGATAAAGACACTGCTCATTATATTCTCCTGACTGCTTCGGAAAAATCATCAATATCCATAAAATAGCGAGTTTTAGCACGAGACTACAATAAGCAATGCTGCCGCTAATGTGTTGATAAAGACACTGCTCTAAGCGTAGTTCTAAGTTTGGGCCAATTCTCACCAACATCTTCTGATCCATGAGTCTCGCATCCGGTAAGAACTGTAGCCTGCTGAAGAAAGTCCTTGTGAGAGGTGTTTACATTGCGCAGGTCTTGACGAGATCCGTTCAGTCCACCTGGTCCGTTTGCATACCCAAGGGTAGTGTATGTTCTTTTGTCTTTGTCAACAGCAAAGGTATTGTCTACCTCTTGTATTATGCCAAACACAGGGTTCCCACGTTTAGGATATCCGCCGATGGTAAAGACGTGAGAGTGGTCGGCTGTTACTGTTATCAACGTTTCGTCTGAAGATCCAAGTAATAGTTAATAAGATTAGCAAATGCGCGTTTCAAAAGTACAGTATATTGCACACTATTTGCATAGAAATATGGCACTTTTTTGGTTCAATCACATAATGGAAAGAGAGATGCGTTACTACTCTCAACACCCAACGGGGATAGACGGTATTCGGTAAGGGACTGGTCAAAAAGTATAGGGGGGGGTGGGCCGGAGCATTTGGAAATATGGTTGATAAAAAACACATGACCCACCCCCTCCCTTCGGCACAAAAATGACTGACCCACCCCTAAAGCAAGGTTGGAAATTGCATGACCCACCCCCTAGTTAAAACATGGATGTTCGGTTTCCTCTTAATAATCCAATAAAACCTTGTTCTGTGCTTTACAAAATTTGTTGATACACTGCTACAAGCAATATCAAAATCACAGAAATCATACCTTTCACTAAAAAGACAAATGTGAAAAACCGAACATTTCTTGTTTCAAGGGACGTTATGAGTCTTGACACAAATATACAGCAAAACGAGGGTATATTGAATTTATCTGTCACAAAGCATATGAAAATTTCAACAAAGACAACCCATTCCTACACATTACTTGCCGGAAATGCTTAGATTAATCCTCAACGAAAATTTCTTCCACTTCAGTGGAAAGCAATACCTACAAAACCATGGAACTGCAATGGGCACAAAGACAGCAGTTTGGATTCTTTTGCCAATATTTTCATGACATATATTGAAACAACAACTCTAAGCAAAACTGTCTTTGGAACAACGGTTTGGAAATGCCACGTACACGATATCTTTTCCCTATGGGACATGAGTAAACCAGACATCGAAGCCTTCATTGAACAAGCAACCATACATCACCTAACTATTGAATTCACGGCCGAAACATTTGACACTGAGACTGCGTTTTTAGACACTGTTGTATACAAAGGCACAAGATTCAAGGAAAAATCTATCCTTGATGCAAAGACACATTTTAAACAAACGGAAAGCTTCTTGCACACACATTTCACCTCGTGTCACCCTCCAAATGTTAAAAAAGAATTTGTCAAAGGAGAAGCCTTAAGAATCCTACGAAAAAACTCCTCAGAAACAACCTTTGAGGAAAATAATTCAAATTTAAAAAAAAAAACGCTTGACGGACGGAGGCTACCCACAATCTTTCAGGGGCACCCAACATCAATTTTCGGAAAATATTTGTTCGAAAGACGATTTGAGATCTAGAATTTTCGGAACATTTGTTGTAAAATTTCTTGCTTGTCTGCCCCTCCTAGGATTTTCGAACATCTAAAAAAATGGTATAATTGCCCATTTTTAACGGATTTTTACCCTAAGGTCACCTAGAATTTTCGGGAGCCTTTTTTCTTGCTGAAATTTTCGAAAAGTTGAGTTTTGATCCCTATAATTTTCGTATCACTAGACTTTCAGCTAGGAGATCCGAATAGATGGAAAATTTTTAGGGGATAAAAATATGCCTATATCTACTCTTTAAATACTAAAATACGTTTAACAATGCTATGTTTAAGTGGTTTTGAACCATATTCTCGTTGAGTGCCCCCTATCTTTGATAGAAAACCTACTATCAGAAATAAAATTCACAAAAGGGAGTCTTAACTTGTAAAACAAAACGACAAGGAGGAAAAAGAAATATTGCCATTCGTGACACAATACCAGCCCTCAGTGTAGATACTATAAAGGAAGCTTGAATGAAAAAATGGAATCTTATACAAAACCAACTATACCTTCAATAAATTTTAAAAGAACCCCCAATCATTTCCTTACAAAAAAGGAAAATTGTTAACGGAACATGCTCGTTAGAGCCGAAAAAAAAAAAGGTTGACAGAGGGTTCCTCGCCCGTATAGATGTGCGGCCTGTCATATAACAAGTGGCCTGTTATATAACAAGTGTAGTCAACTTTCTCGTTAGTAGTTAGTAAAAAATAGGGTGACCCACCCCCTGAGGGTAGCTGAAAATTGCACGACCCACCCCTTGCACAAGGCTCAAAACCTCATGACCCACCCCCTCTCTGCTCCGGCCCACCCCCCCCTATACTTTTTGACCAGTCCCTAATGTGAAAAAACCTCCATAACAGAAGTGAAGGTTGCATGATTTCTTGATTATTTCTGGAGCAGTCAGTAAGAAAATAGTTCTCGCAATATTCAGGCGTCCGGAATGAGAAGCTAGATCGCATAATAAACTTAGGCACCGCATTCTTGGAGACGAAGGAAGGGAGTTCAATCGAAGAGTTTGAGGCAGTGTCGGATCCAGGGGAAGGGCCGGGGGAGCCGGGCCCCCCCTTATTTTTAGACCAAAATGAGACCGGGCGCCCCCTTATCTCAGAGTCTGGATGGATCCTCCAGTGAGAGGGGCCTTTCTTGATCGTAGAAATGTGTAATGAGGAATGACATGTCAAAAGTAAAACAATGGTCTATACAGTTAACCCAGCTCCTTTATTTGTGAATTGGTCTGTCTCTCCGACCAATAAAGATTTAGTGAAGAAAAACCCAGATGTTAAGGACCTTCTTTTGAGGACAATAAGGGACAGCTTTTATGCTGGTATAATGGGGGGATTTAGAGAAATGGTAAACAGAACGATAAAATGGAGAGGAAAAGGTGTCGTCCCTTCCCCACATTGACAGGCCTGATAACAGTCTTAAAAAATAAAGACTGTCTATGATCAGCTTCTTCTTGATAAATGGCAAAGTATCACAGGCAAACTGCCAGTTATAGTAAATGAGTTTGAAATCGTTATCATCCAATGGAAAACAAAAATACAGATGGTATGCACTTGATAAAAAACAATGGGCAATGGTTTACCTTTGTTTACAATTTCCAAGGCCTTAGCAACCGCTTTATTCATTGCAACCGCGTCATTAAGAGCTTTGACAGCCTTGCCATCGTGATGTCCGTGATCAATGCGGCCCCCTTAAAACAGAACACGAGAAACGCGTCTTTTTAAAGAAAGAGCAATTGTGGGAGACGAATCGGTCTTATTTCACCAAAAAGTAAGATCATTCAGGGCTTCTAATAATACCAATTAAATTCATTCAAAATATTTCCCCGATTTTGATTGGCTAAAAGCACACGTTTAATTCACCATAACCAGTTAATGATGACCAAATTTGGAAGAATTTTGACTTTAACGAGGAAATGACGTCAAAAATGCAGCGTTTTCGCAGGTTAAGGCACCGTTAAGCGGGAAGACCTGGGGACGAGGTTGAGTTGTTTGTTGGTTGTGAACTTGAAAAAATGGCGGACATTTCACTCGTTTCAAGAGTAAGAACTAAGCGAAAAAATAGCTAAAAACATGTAAGAACAGCAAGAAGACAACTCGCAGGGTGACGTCTGCTATTTGGAGAATATTTGCGGAGCTGGACAAACCTAAACGTACACTATCGAAGATGAACTGAACATCGATGGATCGATGGAGGTAAGCATGTTTTAGCTATGTTTTTAAACTAGGAATTATTTTGAATGAATAATAAGACAGTTATTGAATTCCCCTTTCGTATCATATGAAGAATTATGGAA